ATCATTGTACTGCAGCATAAACCCCAACAGAAGCTAAACCCTAAAAAACTCAATTTTTCACTGAACCTTCCACAGCAGTCAAACACAATTCCATTAATTATAATAATACGACATAGTATTAATCAAACACAATTCCATCCATTATATTTAATTAATAGTTACAGCAGAACAAGAGAATCCAGAGACATAGCAAACAATATTAGTCTCCAGAATTAAAAAGCTAGAAAAAGCCAAGGCAAGTAGATACATGGAGGACAGGGTCAGGTCAGATCAGATCAGTTGATGTCAGTGTCATCGAAATCGTCTTCGAAATAGTTGAAGAAATCGGCGTCGGCGAGTTTGTTTTCCATGTTGATGACTCCCTCCCCGAACATCTCCAGTGCGTCCACGTCATCTACGTCCATAGCCACTGTTGATCCTTGATCTTCCATGTCCGCGAAGAAGTCTACCTGCATCGGCCTCATCTCTCTTTCTCTCTCTATTGCAGCCGGGAAGGGGATCCCGAATCGATTTGGGGCTAAAACTAACAGACGAGCAGCTGTTCTATCTTCTTTCAGTATATAGATTGGTGCAAATTACAGAAACCTCCCTGAAATACCATGAAATTATATTCAGTACCCGAAGGTTCACATTAAAAAAAAAAAAAAAGTTGCCACAGAATGCCTCTTTTTATACCCGCATATGCCCTTTTACTACTTTTTTTTTTATAAAAAAATAAATTATAAGCAGTACGTTTGTTTTTTAAAAGATAATTTTTAAAATATTTTTATATTTATTTATTATTAAAAAAATTAGTCAATAAAATATATTTTCTGGTAAAAAAAAATTTAGCTTAATTAAGATAAAAGTATTTTTTTCAAAACATTTTTAGCTTAATTAAGATAAAAGTATTTTTTTTATTTTAAACGAAAAACACTTTCTAGAAATTATAAAAAATTTAAAAATATCATATTATTTATTAATTATATTAAATTTAGTTCCCGAACTTTTAATTCCTATATATTTTGTTTGAATCTTATTATCTTCCGAACTTTTAATTGCTATATATTTTGTTTGAATCTTATTATCTTTTAATTTTTTTATCTATTAAATTTGATTTTTATTATTATTTATTTTATTTGAAATAATTTATAAAATTAGATTTTTTTCAATTCCATTCATATTCATTTTTTTTATTTATAAGATTTATTTCTTATTATTTCAATAAATTTTTTAAAAAATATTAATATGCTATTTTTCAGCTTATTTTTCATAATATAACCAAATACTAGAAAATATTTTTCAATTTACTTTCCATGACTTTACTAAACATCAAAAAATAATTTATTTTTTTTAAATTTACTTTCTAAAAATACAACTTTATAAAAAAAAAGCTATTTTTCTGTAAATAAATGGGCTCTAAATAAAAATTCAAACCAAAATGAACCAAATTAAATTGTGAATAAGAAATTAATATTTTTTATTAAAAAAATAATCATTATCATTTTTTCATTATTTTTTTTAATAATTTGACTATCTTTTTTTAAGAAAATAATTAAAGTATTTTAGAGAAAAAATGTACTTTTATTAATTTTTCAAACACATGTATAATGTAACCTACTCTAGACATTGTGTATAAAAAAGAAACAGAATACCTACTCTTAGACATTGTGTATAAAAAAGAAACAGAATTGTTAATGATTAAATGACGATGTTTTAATTTGAAAATATTATATATCTCGCTCCTGTCCACAAGATTTTGTGCAACTTTTTAAGATATTATCATATCCAAGTGAAATATAATTAAAAAATAAAGATAAATATTTTTTCATAAATAATTATTAAAAATAATAGTAATTAGAATATTTGCATGCTATTTCATGAATTGGATTAATTTTTTTGAACAAAAAAATATTCACCTCTTGCTAATATGTTTTTTTAGCAAAAATAAAATTATGTAATATTTGAGATAGATATAATGCAACTGAGTCGATTTAATAAATTTAAAAATAATTTTAAAAATTAGTAAAAACATAGTTTAATTAAAAAAATCAAGATTATATTTAAAAATAATAATAATAAGACAATAATATATTGAATCAACTTGGATTAATCTGACAAATATATAATTTTTATTATGAGACCATAATAACTCCACATAAAATAAAATTAAATAAATTATGAAACCTAATTCTCAACTAACTTAATATTAAAGGATGAAATTAAAAAAATAAAATTATATGAGTCAACTTGGGTTAATTTGTCAAACCCGATACCCAGATTATGATATCAAAATAAACCTATAAAAAGCAAATTAAAATAAGTTATGAAACTCAATTTTTAATTAATTCAATGTTGAATAATAAAATTTTTAAAAAATCAATTAAAAAAATGACGTAAACCAAAATCGACCTAGGTTAAGTCATCATACTAGCGACTTAAATTATGGATAACCTCATAGAAAGCGAACTGAGAAAACAACGTGAGTCAACTCATTTTAGCATGCGAAACTCTCGATCAAGATCATGAGATTGAGATAACTCATAAAAAATATATTAAATTATAAAGCATAATTTTCAATTAATCCAATATTAAATGATAAAACTAAAATAAAATCAATTTAAAAAAATAAAAAGTGACTTAAATCAACTTAGATTAATTTATCAAACTTATAACTTGAATTATAAAACTGAGATAATCTGATAGAAAGTAAACTAAAATAAATTATAAAATTTAATTTTTATTTAATAAAATACTAAAAGATAAAATAAAAAACTAAAAAAAAATTCAAGTAAACTTAGCTACCTCATGATCTAGGTCATGTAACAGATATAACTTAATATAAAGTAAATTAAAATAAATTATAAAATTAAATTATTAACAAATTAAATGTTAAAAAATAAATAAAATAAATTATTTTTTTAGTATCATGTAATGGTCAAGGGTGTGGAATAAAGTGTATTTAAGTTCTTAAAATAATTAGCAAAGATTAAAACCAATTGTAAGTAGTGGTGGTTGTTTTTATGAAAGTTGTATTTAGATAAATGCTAGTGGTGATTGTTTTTATTAGGGGTGATTATTTTTTGTTTAATTTGGTTTTTATCAAAAAAATAATTAAATCAATTTTTTTTTAGAAAAACCAAAATTGGTTCAAACCTACCGATTTTGGTTTTTTAGGATAAAAATCAGTTCAAATTGATTTGGCTTGATTTTTTGATTTGGCTCGGTTTTGACTCATTTTTTTTAGTTTGACTTTGTTTTTTTGGTTTGGCTTCAATTCGGTTCATTTTTTTGGTTTTTTGCTTGTAAAACCAAACCGAACCGGCTAGTTTTTTTTTTAATTTTAATTGGTTTAATTGATTTTTTCAGTTCAGTTTTTTCAATTATTTTTTTATTTTCTCAATTTAATTTGTTTTTTAGTATTTTTACTCAGCCCTAATTTTCATGAAAATTGTATTTAAATAAATGCTATCAATGTATAATATATTGGGTTGTAATGACCAGGTATGACTATGATAAGCAAGAGAAAGATTAATATCTTATTTATTTTTATATTTTAAAAATATTTTTTAAAAAATTAATATTTTTTCTTTTAAATTAAAATAATATTTTTTTAATATTTTCACATCATTTTGATTACTAATATAAAAAATAATTTCTTTTTAAATATATTATTTTAATATATTTTCAAAAACATAATTTTAAAAAGAAAACAAACTAAGCATTAAAATTAAATAACCATTCATAATAAATCAACAAACCTTGAAAACCAACCATCAGATCAAAGTACACCTACAAACTTATGCTATGAACACGAATAATAGGTACAGAAGTGTTTTTCTTATTTAAAACTAATCATTATAACTTAAATTATCAATAACAGTTTATTTTTCGAAATATATCAAGATCGGAGAGAGAGAGAGAGTTGAGAAATCCTCATAAAAATGACATTTAGATATTTTTAATCTTTAATCTAACTATATATATATATATAACTTGTTATCAAGATTTCAGCTCCATCCAATAATGAATCAACTACCAATCGAAGCATTAATGGACTCTGCTCAAGCTGCTCATTGGTATTTTTTCTACTCTCTTTCTTCCTTCCTTAGCGGAGGTGATGGTCAGACCAAGAAGAAGAGCCTCCTGGCATTTGTAGAGGAAGCTCTTGACAGTTTGTGGGTTCTTCAGGTAGATGGCTACCATAATGTTTGTTCGTCTCTGTACACTTACTAAGGTTAGCATCGTTAACAATTTTATTCACTCATATTTACAGCTTTACCCTTTTTAGTGGGCACTGTAAACAATTCGATGATTTTTCACGGTGCCTCTCAACAATCCCACTTCATTGCAAGAAGGGTCCTTTGAGTTTGATTGTTTCATTTTGTGGCACGCAGCTTTCTTTGCTGCTACTTTATCTCTAACAAAATACTGATATTTTATTCTTCACCTTTGCGGGGAATATCTTTATTGGAATTTCTACTATGGTTTTGACATTAATGTAAGTCTAAGAGGTCGCAAGAGTTTTGCAATTTGGTCACCGCAGCTAGCCAAATCCTGTGGTTTGACATTTCCACCGATCGTCATATCTCCATTGCTTGCCACTGGTCCAAAAGCCTCTGTCATGGTATCAGCACTGTCCATTGGACGGTCGGAAAGGAAGGCCTGAAAGAGGAGGAAAACAATTGGCGGCACGCGAGATGATGATGAAATAGGTGATGAAAAACAGGAGGAGGAAGATGTAAAGGGGGTATCGGGCTTGGTTAGTTGATGATCATGACGATTCAATTACAAGGATAAACACTTCAGCTATCAGAAATAATTACAGAAACACCATCACAGCTCGCCATTAAGATGATGAAGATCCCTTAATGGTATTAGTATAGTTGTTCCTCGTTCAATTTGCTTCTAAACATGGTATCGACCTGGGATTTCATTTTTAATGAGTTTTCCATTGGATGATATCCACCGACATATTCCTCCTGTGAAATTTTGGTAATCGAGGGAGATGAACTTCTCGGTGGTCAAACTTCCTCGTGTCATTTTCATAGTCAACCAAACCGAAGCTGTTTGACATCCCTTTTCATAAAATACTGAAGCTAATGTTTGCTCGAGTTAAACTAGCTCCAATTAAGATTAAGGAACCAGCAAAAGAATGAATCTACTCCACTTGAAAAGGAATTATGATGTCTTTAACCCCCCCAAAAAATGTCAAAACACAAGAGAATCTGCTATCTCGCAAACAGCTGGCCCCTATTCACGTATAAAGTAGATGCAGGGTCTTGGAGGCAGCCGCAGAAACCTTCCTCATCCTTCGGAAAAGATCTAGGTAGTGGATGGTCTGGAATCACGCCAACCTAAGTAAAAGCAAGAAGAATTACCGAGAGAGTGAGTGCTAGAGAGGGAGGGAGGGAGCGAGCAGTGCTGCAAAAATGAATAAGCCACTGACCTTATCAATATCTGTGTGATCAGGGGTCTCATAACGAGCGACAGTAACCGCCAAGCCAGAACCATCAGATAGCTGAAAAACTGATTGAATCTTGCTGTGGAACAGAATTAACATGCTGGTTAGTCACAGATGACATAGTTCATAAATGTTGTAGAAGCAGAAGCAATTACCCTTTTCCAAATGTGGGTTCTCCAAATAAAACAGCACGCTTATTGTCTTTCAATGCACCGGCTAATATTTCACTTGCACTTGCAGTTCCCTTGTTCACCTGATAGAAACTCAGAGCAAAGTAAGTGGTCTCTGATTAAAGATTTGATGTTGAAAATGTGAAAATCAAGCACATATAAAATCCCTTGTAGTAAAGCTCTAGCTCAAACCAGAGACAAAGATGCGAAAACTCAACACAAGTGGCAGAACAAATAGTAAGAATGGGGCAAATTGCAGATGCATGATCACATTTAAAGCAGCTGCTTTACATGGCAACCAAATTATACTAGAAATTGAATGAGAAAGAGGGTTTTTGACAGCTCTTACAGAGAGCAGGCATCAAGTTCACTGAAAAGAGCCTTCAAGACAACTGAGAGTTCTTACAAACTTACTCGCTCAAGTCACATACTCTTAAGCATCAACAAATGTTACGGATGATCCCAGGATTCGGTAAAAGAAAGCTTACCAGTACAGCAAGGGGTTCTGACGTTGCAATTGCACTACTTCCATCAGTGTCATATATATCTCTAACCCCACGACTATCACAAATATACACAATGACACCTTTGTCTAACCTGAACAAAACCAGTAGATTAATAGACTAGTATATAGTGAATCTTGACTAAATAGAAATTATCGGGTATTAAGTGATCACATTTGTTATGTTAATTTATGGTTCCAATAATCTCTTTAGTAAATCCCCGCTCCCCCCAAAAAACAAAATTACAGAGAGAGAAGAAAGGAAGAGAAAAAGAAAGCAAACTAATCAACCTCCCACCCACATGCACAAAAAATTACAGCCACACCTAGGTCAAAATTCAATACAATTATGATATGAGACAATATATACACTCCAAACAAATATGACCACAAGCACTCCCGGTAAACAATGCCTAAGAGTTTTCTCTTTTCAAGCAATGTGGTAGAGCCAAAAATATACAGTTGATTGTAAGCCGTTGACATATATCTACATTTTTTTTTCATTGTTTGTAATAAGCACAGGTTCTTCTTTCTAGTGAAAAAGGGCACTGCAACTTCTGAATAGCACTTGTCACCTATTTTACTTATATTTACATTTAGGCTAACAGGATTCTTATAGCACAGTTCCCACATGAAATGCATTAGGAAAAACAAAAGTTCAAATCTGCTGAGCGAGTAAATGTGGCATCTTGGACAGTGAGTCTAGAAAATAAAATGATGCTGAATTAGACAGAGAGAGAAAAAAAATGAAAAGCAATTTTTTAAGCTGTCAACAACGTTGATTCTAAATTAAAAACAAATTCTCAACCAGTACAAATTCATTTTGATATAAAAAGTTTTATTAGAAAGCATAATGAATACTGGATACAAATTATGTCTGCATTAACTGCAAAAGACAATGAAGCACCTTCAAGCAGTATCCCAGGGTTGGGTAGTCAAGACTCAAGAGCTCAATCATTTTAAGTGATGTAAGTGATAAAAGGAAGCCAAGCAACAATCAAGTGAAGAAGGATGTATGAGAAACAAATCATGGACATAATCCTAAATATAAATACATGAAGACACACCACAAACAAACACATGAAAATATATAATACACACACATGTCCATATATCCACCTAATCCTTTTCTTTTGGATAAAAACCAAGACACTATATTTATAGATTTGACTATTAAGACATGTCATTGTAATTTCTGGAAACCAATAAACATAGTTCACAGTAGGTATAGAGGAATAGAAAATAAATATATATTTTGAAATAAAAGAAAACATAAATCATGCTCATATGACTATGCAGCCAAAACCCCTACCAATCCTGCCTTTAAAAGGTACTGCTACCAATGCTTAAGCTACAGCACCCATGAATTCAAATTCAAATGTGTACATTCATCGCAATTTAACTTACCAAATCTTGGCGATCTCAATCCCTTCTGGAAACAAGCCACCACTGCAGCGAATTCAAGCTTTCAGAATGCAGCCGTAGGACCAAGTTTAAAATATATGATATTCAAAGCTAATCACCTATTATCTCGAAGGTCCAACACAAAGGCATTAACATTATTACTCCTCAAAGTATTGATAGCTTCCCTGATTGCACCTGCAAAATATCTGAATTCTCAACATGCTATCCTGAATGGATGGAATTCCCAAAAACATTTCACTCTAACAGGCTACAAATTTTTAAGGTGCAATACAGAAGAACACTTGGCAACCATGAATGTTATATACCGAATACGTACTAAATGCAAAAGCAGCATTATAAAAATCATGTTGAGCTCCGAAAATCATTACAGATGGGGGAATAGTAGACCATTTACAGACAGTTTATAATCCAAATATGTTGAGATTGGTTAAGAATACAGACTTTCCAGTGCATTGATTTATGACTGACAAATTCTCTCTTTATTTAAAGGAAAAAATGAATAATTCCTTAGAAATAAAATAGCGACCTCAAACTACCTGAAGCATTTTGGTTAAATGTTGTCAGTTTAATATACCCAATCCTGGGGGAATCCTTCCCTGAACCAGGAATTACACAGAGTCTTGACTTCACTGGATTTAGAGACACTTTCTCTCGCCTGGAAAGCAGCAGTTAGTTTCAAATGTCAAAAACATTGATGATATGTTTGACAGGATGTAAGAAACATATGTATGCCATGCGATGAAAGAGGGTAATGGTGGCTGTTTTTTTTTTTTGTTGTATGTTTTT